CCCCCCCCCCGATGAGAGCCAATTTTGTGGAAGTAGGACGCGCATCTAATTTCGTCTTGATGGTAAGTACAAAACGGGCACTGGTGTTAATTGGGGTTAGGGTTAGGGTAGATTGGACAGCAGTCATTGGTGGAAGAGGCTTGTCAATCAGAGAGGACCATGATCGGTGTAACAAGTGGAATAACTAGTGCGCAAACTCTCGCCATTCCTGACAGGCAATTTCACAACAACAGAAATGCAAATTAGAGCCGAGGATAATTAAATCACCTCTCAATAATCCCAATCGGAACAGTGAGAGCAGCTGGTAGCAATTGTTGTAGTAGAGGACACGCTGCTACAATCACATGTTGCATTTTTTTCAGAGCTTTGGAGAGAAAAAGACACACACACGAAAACGCACACGCTTAGTACAATCACAACCTCGTGCGAAGATCACACTGTCACCCAGTGGATTCCACCGATCACTGAGGGGGGGGGGGTGATTTGTTAGTGAGCTAATTGGGACAATGTCATCAATGGCAAAAAACTAGTCACCAATCACACGAAACAATGCAAGTGAATAACGAGCTTGTGTTCTGCTTTCACGCAATGCGAACTTTACCAAATCCAACTAAAATTGAGAACAGGTGCAGTCCTCAATAGCATCGCTTCAAACGGAACCGCGGAAATGAAACAATGGAGGTGAGATAAAAAAAACTGTGCCACGCATGTGTCAATGAATAATAAATACTGCTCGTGTTGGCTAAAATGAAACAGAAGACCAGAGAGGGAGGGAGAGGGAGAGAGCAGGGGGTGAATCCGCGCACACACAGGCACAAATTTAACTTAAATGACTTTCTTAACAAAAAAATAAAATGTGGTCCACTAACAGTACCTCCAATTTTATTCTCAAACAATACATACGGTGTGGTAGTTAATTCGTGTATGAAGGTAAATAAGTTGGCATTAGAAGCCATTATAAATCGAATTTGTATGTGATTTAAGAAAAAGAAGAAGGAAAGAGGATGATTTTAGACGAAAATTCGTCAAAGTACTAGATAAATTCCGTTTTAATACGGAAAAATTAGACAAAAGTGCGCCAGGAGTTTGAGTTCTTCTAAAACTACAACATCATCACATGTTATTGTATTAAATTAGAATGGAATTTTATCTAAATTTGGAATTACACACAAAAAGTTGTTTTGACTTTTTTTTACTTATTATTATTATTATTAAGGACGAAAATGAGTCGCAAGAATTCAGTGCATTTGAGCAAAAATGGCATCAATGTGTCCTTCAGAAGGGGAATGAGTGGTTTTCAAAATAACGCATACTAATTCGAAAAACTGAATTCGGAGGCTTCCGACATGTGACTTTGCTTCAAATACGATTGCTCTGTACTCAGAGTCTTCAGGCCAAGTTACCTTTGAAGCATTTCATTTCGTTGAAGCCTACTGGCTGATCGTATCTTGCACAAGTTGGTCAAAGTCTCAAATCATACTCAACCACCTCCTCCTTCCCCCCCCCCCAACCCCCCAGCCAACAATCACCAAGGTACGCATCAAAAACTTGACGACAGGACGTAGAGGCCCGCACCTTACTTAAGACAACACCACCACATAGAATAACTATCGGGCTCTTTTTGACGTGCACACAACAATTACATAATTTGAGGAAGTTTAACTCGCTTACCGATGAAAAATCAGTGATTTTCAGCATAAAGAAGAAAAAGTATCAAAGCCACTCGTTTTCAATTCTGCAATTATTCAATTCTCCAATCAGTAAGGAAATTATTAGATATAGTTCTAGTAGAAATTGATTTCTTAATTATTTGTCCCATGACGTGTGACATTTCAAGAATACTCCTGCAAGCTGTGACAATTTGATCAAATAGGCATGTAATTCGTCAAATCCTCTTTCATTTCAAATGGATGGGTTCAAAATTAGAATGTGAAGCGCTTTTAAAAGGCTTGAAAAAGACTCCAACTAACCTTGGAAACCGCGGATATTATGATGTTGGGAGTAGCGCTGAGGATTCCCATGTCCCCTGTTTGAGTACCTGTCGATTTCGACATGTCTGAAGGAATCGGTTGGAGGATAATTATATGTGAGGTTTCCACCGCCACCACCACCACCACCGCCACCGCCACCATAACCACCACCGCCATCGCCACCACAACCACCGCCACCGCCACCACGTGAATAGGAGGCGCCACGTCCACCTCTCCCACCTTGTTGACGATTGGGTTGGAACTGATGATGTTGATGCAATTGGGAGTCCGCATGGCTCGAGTCATGAGAAAGACGTGATCTGAAAAATTGAAATAATTTAATTTCAGAGCGCGAAGTTGGTTAGAATCTATTTAAATATTTCATCGTCGGCATTTCAGTGACCCCGTCATCCATTGGGGACAACCACATTGCCAACATTTGAATCAACGTGATCCATCAAACTGAATAGAGATATTAGCCCTGGAGTTGCAACAAAATTGGTAACCTGTCGCATACCACAGCTTGCTTACTTATATCCACCCAAAAAGTCCAACTTCAGAATCGTTAGAAGTTTAGAGCCTTACCTGGCAATCCTCATACTTCTTTGAGTCATTTGTTTTCAATCGCACTTTTTCGAATGCACATGAAAGTTCCAAGGAATTATTCTATAAATAGTAGAGCAAATGAACTAGGGGATTGTAGAGAAGATACATGGCATAAAAGCCCTTCAAAGCTTAATAATGTAAACAAAATCAATATAGACTTAAGGGAAACAGCTTAGCATAACACCCAAAACTGCCATAACAAATTAACAACATCAACTGCCTGAATTAAGTAGAAAGCAAAGGAAAAAGACACTCACAAACTTTTCGATAGTTTATATTCGAGCTGTACGCCACCACCTCTTGACCGATGCCCCTGACGACCCTGAAACTAATTAATTATAAAAAATATCTATACCCTGTTTCTATGAGTTTGCATTTCATAGGCCCCGTTTCTAACTGGTTTGGTATCATTGCGACAAATTGTTATCTAAGAAATAAAAGCTCCATAAGGTATTAGAGATAAACCTTTATTTGAGAGGGATGTATAGAGCTACCAGTCTCTACAGCACGTTTTTTATCCAATTCAATTTCCTGCAAAAATCTATAGATTGAAATAAATGTACTTACACGATGCCTGTTTTCAAGCCGAGCATTATTTTCACGTATGACGGCAATGCGCTCATTAAGATTGCATTCTTGTCTGAAATTTCGGTTTGTCATTTTGATGTGCCGATATTTTTATATGAGTTCTTCTCCCAAACCACTGCAGGCATCCAGGCCAGACCCAGAAGTTTGGTAATAATCTCGCGAAACCCTAAGCAGGGTTTTAAATAGCGCGAAGATATTTCAAGGTCGATGTTATTTATAAGAAATATTTACAAATCAATTAATTAATTTTGTTAACATGTATTATATGAAAAGACCTAAGTTGTATATCTGAATATTGCAGTTATTTTTGGGTAATTTTTTTATTATCCATTTAGCTGTAAATCCTCTTTACGTTATTTATAATGCATTGTTACCTACAGTACATTTGCATTCCTAAGTCTCGACTCCAGAAATTAAGTCCATTAATTCCAAATCCAAAAACACCGATTAAATACAATTAATACATCTTTTACATGATACATCACATCTATTCAAAATATCGTCAAAGGGAGACAGTCGATTCATGATCAAACTAATGATACGAAGACGACGATCGCATGGAAAACAGGTAAAGGGACAAATGCTTCGTACAAACAGATAGGGAGCCCCGAAGTTCCTTAGATAGCAAATTTTCTGTGGAGAGATTAAAAAGAATGTCAATTAGACTATGAATTATCCAGGGAGTCTTCAGGAGTTGTGCTGTCCTCAACCACCACCATATCTTCTTCCCGAACTTGCTCCAAATCAGCTCCAACGTCTCCCCGTTCAAACGAGCACCCAGCGAGTACGCTAGCCGTGCAATTTACTACAAAGTTAAAAGACAATCAGAGCAATAAGGAAACTTCGTAATGATACTATCGGCAGGACAAAGGACTTGCAGATATTTGCCAGTCCTTGGACAGAAGCAGCCATTCTACTGCAACGACGGCGACATGAACAGCTACATGAGGAGGAATGATCGGCTTGTTGGGGAGGAACTGTATTGCTAACTGCGGTGGGGGCAGCTTCACCTGGTTCCTGTTGATGGGAAGCGGATGCAGACTCAGTTCTGTTGGCACTCGAAGAGGAAGAATTCTGACGATGGAGCAGCTCCAGTGCTTCGCTTAAACTCTCTAACACGTGAGAGATCAACAAATTTGCCTAAAAATGAGACAGAATACAATCGTTCGTTTTCAATGTAACGGTTAGGAATTTGACTGAAAAAAGAGAGGGAGAGAGAGAGAGGGATATATTCTTACGGGATGTCGAGAATATAAGTTGCCTAGGGCTTCAATAGATCTTCGAATGAGCTTTCTCGCCCTCGTATGGTCCTCACAGCCACATTCACCTTAAACGATAAGGAGAAGAACAATTTTAATACCCCACCCGAATTAGCAAACTTCCACATGCTCTTTCCACTTACCAACATTATTTGCAGTGCTTTGAACAGCGCTGACTAGAGCTTGGAGCTCATGTGTCATGGCAGACCAAAATGTTGACAATTTGAAAACAAGGTGATTCAGGCGGTCTGGAACATTCTTGTTCTCCTGAAAAAAAACAAATTTTGGATCACACACACTACAGTATGCGAACGTAATGCGAAAAAAAATCTCAAACACAAAAAGTGCATTCTCTACTACTGCTATCAGTTTCTTACTTTAAATAACTGAACAATAACAAGGATTCACACCACGAAGAATCCCAATTCCCGAAGAAACCAGAAATTGCCATCACAAACTTGACATAGCTCAGTTCCGATGTCGACAAGATGACGACCCACAACCACATACCGAAAAAAAACAGACAGAGAACCGACGTACAACATCATCTGCAACAATCAATTACTGTGTCCGTATTAACTAGAACTACTCTTAGCTTCTACAGCTCGGTTACGATGTCTGGTTATTACAGAGATCGAACTAGTTACCTTAAGAAAGAAGGCAACCGCCACTGGAAGTATACAGATACGCGGGGGCCACCACTTAAGGTCCTTTTATTAAAGAAAAAGAGGGATAAAGCAAACTTGCGCTAACATTACGAGCAGTAGAAAGTTGAGGTGCATCATCAGTGAGCGAGACAGTTAGAGAGCTGGGAGTGTCTGTTGAGAGATCCGACATCTGATCAGCAAGCGAAGCGCTCGTATCATCGTGACATCGTTCCCCTCTGCATTCTGCAAATGCAGCATCCATACAGACTGAAATCTCTCGCACAGTAGCTCCTATGTCCTCCACCAGGGAATTCACTCCATTGAGACTACAAATAAAGAAGGTCAAGAAGAGGCGTCAATATTGGGGCTTATTTGTACTCCTCCACCTCAGTCTAGTGCTGGCTACTAACTCAAGATAAATAGGGAATGGCAATTTAACAGTCCTGAGAACTGTGAATTTTAGCTATCCCAGATCTTGCGATTGGCAAATTATTACTGTGCAGTTAGCGGAACGTAGCAAACACATAAATATATGTATATCAAAAACCTTTCGAACGAAGAAACACAACACAAACGAGACAAGGCAGGACCTACTGCTCGGGTAGGGAATGGCTGTCGAAAATTTCCCCATCGATCATGCATGAAGTAGGCCCGAGGTTAAATGAACACGGACTATGAAAGTCGGTAGAAGCCATACGTGGATTCTCCGGGGTTGAAATTTCATTGACGCTAGAAACTGGATGTCTTTGTGGAGAGAGAGAGAGAGAGAGAGAGAGAGAGAGAATGGAAATATGAGCCCCAACTTTGGCGCAATATAATGCCAGCTACGATAGTAGCCCAACTTACTCAATATTAGACTCCCGAACGGCGGACTCGAGCTTTTTAATTACTTGGTTCTTGACCAGAATTTGTTGGCGTAGCCTCTCCAACTCCTGAATGAATCCCTGAACACGTTTCTCGTTTTCGCCCAAGATCACCTTCAGACGCGCGTTCTCCTTGTTGGCACCGTGAAGCGAAGTTGAACGCTTTTCCAGCTTGGATTTCAGTGAAAAAGCGAGAGCCTTCAACTGAGGATACTTTCGAGCCTTTTGTCGAATCACTCCCAAATCCTCCTTCTCACCGCAAACGGGAGCATCTTCCAAGAACGCCCCGAGATTCATTTGTGCATTTGCAGAGACAATACGGGCCATTTCAAGGTCTGATTGGAGCGTTAACTTCTCTTCTTTGCACGCCGCCAGGTCCGCTTTGAGATTGTCTCTTTCAGTCACAAGGAGTTGATACTGCTCGGCCATTTCCGCGAATCTCGAATCGGCGACTTCAAGCAGTGACTTGTACTTATGGTGCGCACTTTGTAAATTGGCCTTGTGTTGCTGTAAGTAGGAGTTAAATGGGAACCAGGTAATTCACAATAAATCAAATCATTTCAATGGGGGGGATTGTAGCGCCATGTCTAAAATCAATGGCACCACAGTGTAATCAACAAACAAGTCGCATACGCTTAAATGACATGTTTTTAAATCAGTTCAATACCTAATTACTCGCACTTATCTCAGCAAAATATCCTGTCACCACCTTTTAAAGCCTCCATGCTTACTGGCCCCCTAATTTCGCTTATCACTCATCTTGGCGACTTCATGCTGCCAACAGTCATTTAGAACTTGGTGAATTACTTTTCTCTATAATGAGCCATTAAGTCGGCAGTGAAGCTGTGTTCCCTCCCCCTCCAAACGTGCACGACATTAATTGGTTGGACATGACACCTTGTGGAAATGCAATTCCAAGCCCATCCGACGCTGTTATAAACATCTTGATGGCATTTAACCAGTTCACTGAATCTCCCCGAACTCTTAGATTTACCAAGAGGAGGAGGGGGGGGGGTTATCGTAATAAGCCAAGAGACGCCAATATTAAACAAAGACAAGACATGTACCTCAAGCATATCCTTTATTTGGGCGTCCAATGCCACATTCTTCTCTTTCTGACTATCTACTTCGTCAAGAAGGCTACTCAACTTCAATGAGGCGTCAGTCTCTCGCTCAATGCTCTCTGCTAACAAATCCTAAAATAAAAAACAAAGAGAAGAAGGGATGAGGGGGCAAGAAAAGCAAGTACCTCTAGACGCTCAGATCTGGCCTTCCATTGGTCAATGTCTTTGGTGGCATTGTTGAGCTGATTCTCCAGATCGTCGTAGATTGCCCGCAAGTCATTGGCTGCCACCTAGAAGAGGAAGGTGAGAAAAAAAAGAACAAGACGTTAATAGAGAGAGGGGGAGGGGGAGGGGAAGGAGGGGGGGGGGGGG